AAAGAGAGCACCAGGTTGGTTGCCGTTAGGCACACGCGGATCGGACGCGACTTGAGTTACAGTGCCGTTAGGCACAGGTATACTCAGGAAGATGCACCTGGCGGATCTCTGATGTATGAGATGCATTGGAATGAACTCCCCATGGTGGGATACGTCATCATGAAGTTCTCGGACTTTCGGAAGGCGGTTCAGCTCCAAAGGGTGAGGCGAAATGGAAAGGCCATGATCGAGATATTGATCACGAGGCCCGATGTGTACGAGACCATTGGGGATGGTAGGCAGGATGAGGGCCTGATCCCACTTGTGGGAGCCATGGCGCCGGATGCCGAGGTATCGCCTTCGTGGTATGTCAGGGACAGGCTGCGGAACTACTCCGGTAGGTACGTGGTGGTAATGGTGGATCTTCGGGTGCACTGGTCCTTGGTTGGACCCGTGTTTTTGACGAGAAGGAAGACTCTTGCCGTTAGGAACGAGATCCACATGGGGGCTTGGAAGGCGGCATATATGTACGATGATTACACGATAGTGTACCATCGGGCATGGGACTACGGTGACTTCACCCCCGTTAGGGGAGAGCACAGGCGATCACGGGAAGAGATCAGGCTGAATGTGACTGCCACGTTCTGCTTGAGGTGCGCAGAGTTGATGCCAAATGGGATGCACTTGTGTCCCGGGTGCGCGCTCCCGGTCTTTTACCCGAACTTTATCCCCAACGCGGAGGAAAAGGACTTCGAAAGGTGCCACATCGTGCCGGAGTGGGTGAGGACCATGGGGCAGTTCAAGCCCAGGAGGATTCCCTCCGAAGTGGTCGGAGTCATCAAGAGGAATTTGATTTCCTATTCGATGGCATCCGATCTGAGGATGACGGTGCAGAGCGGCATCAGACTTCCCCCTTATCTTGGTGAAGACAAGGGAGGTGTCGATGCGGCGTGGGATGAGCTGGCGAAGGTGCTCTTCCAATTCTCCTATGTGTCCGGGATTTCGGCCTCGGATGCGTTCGTGGAGAAGTGGGTGGCGAAGCACCTGATCAAGACCAACCAAGTCGATAGATTTGAGTCGGTCACGGAGTACTTCCGGGCCAACCCAAGACACGCTGCTCAGTGGGGTAGGCGTATGACGACTTCCGTTAGGAAGTTCGCTCGTCATGACACGTACTTGTCATTCTATATTCCGATGGCATACGTGATTGGCTCCGCGGCTGGTCATCTGACCCCACTGTACCCGACCCATCGAAAGGACGTGGACATCCTGGAGAGTCAGAGTCATGCGTTGATTTCGCAGCTCAGGCAGTACATGGTATCGGAGACAGGGTACGATGAGAAGAAGAGGTTGAAGGAGGCGATAGCCAAGGTGCAGAAGGCGATCAGCGCCGGACAGTCGGAGCCTCCCGCACCCTTCCGTGACCCGTTCGTCTACGTTAGTGACGAAAGGGTGAGGACGGTTCTTGACGGTCGTCAACCCGAACCATTGAACGTGGACATCGAGGGACTCCAATCGGTGCATCATGCTGCGCCGGGTCCTGGTCCCAAGCAGGAGCCGGTCCCCAAAGGCGGAAGAGGAAAAGGGAAGAAGGGGGAAAAGGGCGGTAAGGGCGGTAGTCCTTCCGGCCCACCACCAAAGTCAGGTGAAGTGCCAGGGAAAGGATCTGGTAAGGGCGGTAGCCCATCTGTCCCAAAGGCGAAGGATGATGCTGGACCTGCTCCGATGGAGGTTGATACAGCAGCAGCTCAGCCGAAGAAGTCTTGGGCCGAGATGGTGGTTGAAGGGGCCAGGCCGAGCGCTAAGGCTAAAATGACCCCGGTTCCTAAGGCCGAGCCGAGAGGGAAGGCTGCTTCAGCATCTGAGGCGAAGAGTGCTCCGGCTCCAAAAGCTGTGGCTGAGGAGGCGAAACAGGCCGAACCGAAGGTTGAGGTCAAGAAGGAGAAGACAGGCGGAGGTGACGCTCCCGGCGGTAGCCGCGGGTCGGCCGAAGGGCAGAAGAGAGAAAGGAAATCCCGTTGGGAACCTGACGAGGCTGCGAAGGAGTCGACAAAGCGGGAGGCGTCCACGAGGCCTGGCGACGTCGACAGCAGACCAGGTGCGGCAGCGAGAGAAGCTAGCGGGGATGATCTTCACTCCGCGCTTGGCAGATCTTCGGCAAAGGATGCGGTAGCGCCTTTGACGGCCTCCAAGGCGATGGCAAAGAAGCCTGAAGGCGGGGAGATCAGGCTGCAGTCTGCTGAGCGGGCTGCGACGAGCCCGGTGGAGGGTCACTTCCTGGTGCTGCCTGAGAGTTCGGTGGTGGACGCTTTCTTGTCGATCTCCACCAACAGAGTGCTGAACAAGCAGGTCAGGGATTTCATCAGGAATGGTGAGGACGCGTCGGCACTGGAGGCTCTCAACCAGATCGTGACGAACTCTCGATCTGGGAGGAGGCGTAGGGAATCGGATGTTTCCCGTACTCCTTCTCGGAGGTCCGTTAGGACCGTGGACACCAGGGATTCCAGAGAGTCGAGGAGGCGCAGATACCGTCCGCGGCGCGAGGATGATCGCGACAGGAGGAGGGACGATGCTCGTGATCGTCGTGATGATGATTCACTCGATCGGGAGCGAGATCGAAGGCGAGATGATCGCAGGAGATCCGAAAGGGATCGTGATAGGGACCGTGCGCGGGGCGGGCGTGACCGGAGGAGACGTGACGATAGCCGGTAGGCTGAGTCACGGGGATTGCGGCCGATAGGCTTGCGTCCATTCTCCAATGGTCGGCGCGGTGTGGAGGTGGTGATGTTCCTCCCGGACCGCTGAGGCGCGGAGGTCATGTCTCTCCCGTACCGCTGCTGAGCTGCTGGACGTGCTCATCCGGAAGCAGTGTGAGTGAGAGGGAAAGCAAACTGATGGGGGGTTACTCCCGGGTTTGCGGAATTCAAGCATTTTTCAGGTACGCATGGTCAGGGGTATCTCTTGCCGTTAGGCGAGGGTACTATTGGACATACGTTATCTTTCTTTTTCATGGCTTCTGATAAGAATTAAACTTCTTGCATTGTTGATGCAAACAGTTGTGACCTAGTGTCGTCATGTGGACCTTTCCACAAGGTGTGTTGGACAGCGTTACCCCGATTAATTCGGGGTGGTGGCGGGAATTTAATGCCCGGGATGTCGCGCAACTGCCTTTGTGGGTTTGCTCCACCGCTGACGGCGGTAGTGTCCAGCTGTTTGCGGACGCATGCGAGCAGTTAAATCCTATCAGTAAATGGCACGCTCCACCCGTCATATGACGGGCTCCTCGTGAGGGGGGTGTGATTAGCCATGGTTCATATCATCATCAGGGACGTCGCGTTAGTGACCGACCTGTGGTGTTTTGGCTCAAGTTTTGGGTTCCGTCGCGCCTCGAATGGGCGTCGCCGAACCCCTGCGTCGACCGACGGCATCTCGGGGGAGAAAGAGACCTCGGGCCGCCGCCAGGTTGGTAGGGACCAGTCGTGCGGCCTGTTGTCGACCAAGGTTGCGGGTTAACCCTTTTCTTGTTTGGTTTGTTTTCCTTTGGTTGTTGTTCTCTGGTGTGTGGGAAACCCTGATCTTTGGGACCGGGGATTGGTTTGCTTTTGGGGAACCTTTCTTTTGTGGCTTGTTTACCCCAACTTACCCATTGCCTGGGCACAGGCTCGTGCCCGAATCACAGGTTTTAAAGGAAACCGATAGAAAGCCACCTTGTTTTTGGGCTTTGCCTATGAGACAATCCCAAATGTTCGACTACGGGCTTGAGGTTGACTTCCTTTTGCATGGCCCCGATACGTTGCCCAGGCAAGGATTCCTTGCGCCAAGCAGCCGTCAGGCAGGGTCGTTGGTTGGGGACACGGGAGCAAGCGACTCAAGTTTCTGGTCTCCTTCATTTGGAAAGGAGACTGGCATTCCTCAGGGCATGAACAATATTGCTTCACTGTTTCTCTCGGCCAGAATCAAGCCTGGGTACGTGAAGGGCATCTTTGCCAAAGGAAACTTGGTGCGGATAGCCGCACTTTCTACTTGGGTAGGAACCTCTAGTTAGTTGTCATGGTTGTGGCGGTGGTTTTTGGGTGGGTTTGTGGCTTTGGTGGTTTTCCTTTCTTCTTGTGCCGCTCTTGGTGGTTTGTCGCGAAGGTCAACTAGGGCAGCCACCCTTAATCCTCCAACCACCATGGAGTTGACCTGTGGATGGACCAACTGGATTTGGAATGGATGACCCCCTATGAAAACCGGGTGGATAAACCCCTGGCGCCCGGGCGCGCCGATCGGCGCGCGCATTTTGTTCGTCAGGACTTTGTCAGATGCTCCAACTGAGCTCGGTCCCGATGATTTGTCGACTCAGGCCATTCCTGCGGCCGGAGATGCATGGGCGCACCCAGCCGTTGGCTTAGGCTTAAGCCGGCTGTCAGGTCTTGGTATGGTCCATGTCTGCCCATATAAACATGTTGAGGGTTCTCAGAATTACGTTTGGGGGTGGGGAAAACCTTTTAAGCCACAACATTTCGAGGGTACTTTTGACCCACTTTTGAGGATGTCTTGCAACCATGGACTCATTGTGAAAGCTTGTGCGGCTTGCTTGTCAATGTTTTTGTTTCCGCTCTCTCAAGCGCTCGCGAAATCGACTTTTCCGCATCGGCAGTTGCAACTGCCGTGCACGCCGATCGTTTTTGTCAGAAAAGTCCTCCAGACACGGGGCAATTTTGGGATGGGGGCACGGCTATTTCAGGGTCCTCAGAGGAGTAGTTCTCAACATTCATGGCAACTTGGGATTTATCCTGAGGACCCTGCTAGTCAGAGCATCCCGCCCCGAGATAGATTATTTCCTTACTAGCAGGCGCTTCCCCCACGATTAGCACGGTCCTTGGGCTCAATCATTACTTTTGGTCCACTTGGTTTTCCTGGACACCACCAGTTTCCCTGTCTCAGCAAAAGAGCTTGCCCGAAGCGCATCGACTTGTTCTTTGCGCTGGTGTGTCTTGCCAGGCTAGGGAACCGGGAGCTAGTCTTTGATCTCCTCGATGATTTGCCGAGTGTTTGGCCGAGCTTTCAAGACCACGGTCGTCTTTGAGTCAAGGTTCCGAAAGATGATCGAGTTCACCAAGATACACCCGTCCTACCCGTGGAGTGTTGAACTGGAAGGATGATGCTTCCCCACTAAGCCCAAGGTCTTCATAAACTTGGATGGATCTGAGGTCAACAATATCCTCTGCACCTTTGATTTTTAGCTGACAGGAGATGACCAAAGACGGGCCAGAAGCTGTGGATTCATTTGCTTTGTGTTTTTTTTTTCCGCAGATCTTGCGGTGTCCTTTTCCCGGAAGAAAAAAATCCGCACTGGCAACAGACACACGCGCTTCTCCTGATTTGTCAGGGGCCACCACGTGCACATGGATGTTCATCCCCAAATTGGAGCCATGATGGACGGAATCCTGCACCTAAGAACCCTGGAATGATGATCATCCTGTAAATACCAACAAACAATGGTTTCCCATGGTTTCAAAGTGTTGCGAAATGGATTTCGTCCATCCACAGGTTATGCAACCCATGGCCATATTCCCAAAATCGAGATACGCTTGGAATCCTGGGGGATCTTGAGCCCGTGTTCCCGATCTAGAGCGAGCCTCACCGACCGGTGAGATCCAAATCGGACTTGGCCAATGCACTCAGGGTGCTCGCAGATCCAGAAAAGACCCAGTCGATGCAAAAGCGGTTTTCAATGACCCAGCTGGGTTTGTCTAAAGCGGATTTAGATCCAAAGGTTGCGAGTTCTTGTTGGCCAAGAAAAACGGGCCGCCCTTCTTTCGCCTCGAGAAGACGACAGCTCCAGGCTCTCCTTTCCGGAGTTCCGGGAGGCGTTCCTGTGGCTTCAGGAGGAGCGAAGTTTCGCCAACCGGACAGGTGGAGAGAGCCCCGAGGTGTCCACCAACTCCGCTTTGGAGTCTGAGACCCTGAAACTAGCACAGGGCCGGGGATTAGCTGGGGAAGCTCGTGTGTTGTTTTGGAGGCGAAGGGTGTCCCGTTTTGGGGTTCGGGAACCAAAAAGAAAAGCAGCTCCTTGTTTCCGGTTCTGGGGTTTCCTTAAGGAGGTTTTCCGAAAAGGTTCAGAGTTCAGATACCCACTCCACCTACCCACCTTCAGATTGGCGGACTGGACTCACCCAATTTGGGTCGTTTTGAGGTTACACTTGAACCGGGCCATCAACCCGGTGGCAAGTTGATGGGGCTGTCAATGGGCGGCTCTTTCCGGAACAGACCATTTCAGGAAACCACTAGTTGGTTTGGATTTGGATTTTGAAGCAAAGTTGCATTCTCAGTGGGGGCCTCACGATAGAGGGCCCCTTTTTGCATGGTTTGAAAAGGAACCCAAAGGATCCACCAACCCGCAAGGGTCCCCAATCTTGAGAAGCACCCATATGGCTCCGAATTTCAAGAGGGACTCACCTCAACAGTGATCAGTGAACATGGATGCCAACCTAAATGAGGTCTCATTAGAAACCACACACACATATTCAAATACACGGGCTCGGGTAAGTGAGCACGGGTTTACGTTTGAAGTGTCATCATGTCTGAAGTTACATCTTTCTTAAGGGTCCTTGCTGGCGCTTGATGGAGAGAGTTGGAGCACGCTGCACAGAAGGCAGAGTGAAACGTGTTTGCTCGTTCTCCGGGATTCCCGTTTTTCCGCGACCCAGTGAGAGCCAGGCACTCTTGCTAGGAGCTAGAAGTGGTCGTCAAGCCGAACGACGAAGCCGTTAGGAGCACCAGTGGGGTACGGGTGGATTCCAGCTCAATCTTGCGAGGGAACCAGGGGACCCCCGGTTTGTGCTTGGTTTACTTGCACTCTGGCCTTCCCTTTTTTTAAGGTTGGACCCCAAAAATTGTTTCGGTGTTCATTGCGGTTCCTCGTAAACCACGCTCAAAATGGGTGCCCTGCAAAAGGACAAACCCTTTGTTGGTTGCATCCGTAGTGCTCGACGGGCGACTTCCTTGCGCGACTTTTCGTTTGGATTCCGGAGGCTGAATCTGGATGGCCTGGCCCCAGCCTGCTGGATTGGGGGTCTCCCCCGTTTGTGAGACTCGGGTCCCCTCTTAAATGGGACAATCGCCAATTTGGGTGTGTCCTTTTTGAAACGGATATCCTTGAGTGGTTAAGGCAAAGGACAACTGACCCCATGTTCGAAGGTCCGATTCCAATTTCCAAGACAAACCTTATCAACCACCCTAGGAATCCTGGGATCCAGACCCTGGTCCATTCCGGGGTTCACATTACCCGAAACGGGTCGCAGGAAGCTGTTCCAGAAGCACAGCAGCACGCAGGCAGACCCCAAGACAGGCGCCACCGCGAAGTGGTTGTTTTCATTTTGAGATTTGTTTTGCCAAGTTTTATCTCAGTTTTGTGTAGCATCATTTCGAGATTATGACTTGAATGGACGAGTTGGGAGTTTCAGTAGGCAAAACGACCAACAGAGAGCTCCCGTTTTTGGCAAAGGGATCGATTTGAGACAAAGCTGTGGGCCAAGGTTAGTCTTTCACATCCAGATCCTTTTCAGGTTGCAAGTGAGGAGTCGCCGGTTTTCCCCAAGACACGGGCTTGAGGGACCTCCAAGGCTCCTTTCAGATTTTTCCCCTGGGCTGTTCAGGGTGCGCTCGCAAGGGACAATCATGTGTGTAGCATCCAAACGGAACTCATATTCATGTTTGTTTTCTTGCTGTGTACCTTGGGTTGGGTTTCAAGGCAAACCAAAAGGACCCCCATTTTGGTGGGTCTGACAGGAATGGAGGATACCGTGCAGCATTCTGAGAGAGGGTTTGTTGGTAAAGGGAAATCAAAAGGAGAGGCACAGTTTTGGTCCCCTGCAAAAAAAGACACCCATTTTGAGACAGAGAGTGGTCAACGATTCTCGAGGCGTCATTGGTCCGCGGCTCAGCGAATCGGACGGGCGTTTGTGACCAAGCGCCGAACTCCCCCCATGGGTTGTTGGCTGTATTTGGATTCATGGTGAGGCCCCAGAACAAACCTAAAAGAAGGTGGTAGAAGCAAAAGTCCCATCGGTTTTGGTGAAAAGGATACCTCTGAAACTATACCGGCCATTTTCATCTACCGGTAGCAGCAGGAAAGTTGAACACTGTCTGGTTGGCGCACACCACCTTTGTCATCCCGTCTTTGCATCCACGAGAAAAGTTGCTTAACTTGGTGGTTCCTTGGGCTTTAGGTTTGCAGGGCTTAGTGGGGGGAAACGGCCAGCCCAGCGTAAGTTGAGGCTTGTTTTTTGGGAGAGGCCTAGTCTTGTTTTTTTTCCTGTTTTTTTTCCCATTTTTTTTTTCGGGGGTTGGGATATGAAGAACGGTTTTGTCCAAAACCTCTGTGGCTAAACGGGAGGAACCACATGGCCGAACCAATCGTGGCCTTGGCGCTTTGGGAACCGATGGTGGCCTGAACAGAGATTCAATATCACAGACTGTGAATGATTTGGCGGCCATTTTGCACCACCCAGAAACCAAACAGAATGTTGGTTCCACTGTAAATGCCAACAAACAATGGCTTCAACCACGTGCGAAATGGATTTCGCAACCATCAGTAGCTCTGGGTTTCTGGCTGAGGCGTGGGTATGGAGGACTACGAAGTCGCAGCCTCGAGCAGAATGCTTTTGCTTTCTGATTTCCCGATGGACGTGGCTCAAGAGCGAAACCCAAAATAAGTTGCCCTGCATGCACAAGTAGACAAACATCCTGCGGTTTTCTGGCTATATGTTGGCAGATAAGCCTTTGGCGATTTGGATTGGTCTGGATTTGGATTCATGCCCTTTCATTCTTGAGCCCCATCTACCATGAAAAGACCACCAATCCAGTCCAAACCAACTGCAGGCGTTCTGACAACTCAAATTGCAGCCATCGCCGGGATCGCCCCGATTCGAGCTTGATGGATCTGTACGTTTGACTTCCATTTGCTGAAATGAATATCTGTTCTTTTCCCCTGCTTTAACAGGAATCGATTTCACTCATGTTTCCTCATGGGGTTCTTCGCGTGAAAAAGCGCCAATGCGACGTTGAGGCCTTGCTTTTCCGCATGCTCACCTTCATGCTGGCCAGCGGCGAGGCCATGGCAGCGTTTTTTGTTGTTGAACAACTTGGTGCGAGAGAATGAGAAATGGCTCACCCCACGAAAAACCTCCCTGGGTTTCGTTACTTCAGGGGACTGAGCCTGGGGCCAGCCGCAGGGACCTCACGGGGGACCTTGCGACCTGGGCTCTTCGGTTCCGGGCGGTGCCACTTTTTGGGGACTCAAACCCGATGAGCTCCTTTGGGACATGCTCCAGTTTCGGGCTTCAGCGGAACGCATGGGCGTTTTGTAAGGAATCCTCTTTCTGTTGTTTTTTTAGGCTGCAAAAGGACAAACAACAGTTTTGGGGTCCCCTCTTGGAGACAAACCCAAATGGTTGGTTGCCTTTTGGTTTTCCATTAGTTCACAACCAAAAGGCGGTCCGAAACTCATTTTTGAGAAACTCCCGCATGGCTTTTCCAACAAACCTACACAAGGTGATCGACTTTTTTTTTAAACTCAAACCAGATATGTATGTATTGCCGCCCGAAGGAAGGAACATGTGGGGTCTAATACGGGACTCCTGAATGGTCTTCGTTTTCCCGTGAAACCCAAAATTGTTTAGTGGTTTCTAGTTGGTCATGGTAAGGTTTCCATTTCTCCCACAAGTTAAACTTTTGGCAGGGCATCAGAAATCCAAGCAGCCCTTTTGTTGGGCAAAGCTGACCCCAAGAAAATATGTTCCATAGTTTGTTATTTTCTTCTTTAAACGGGACTCCCCAAAGCCGGTTCCGTCCCCGGTCCCCAGTCCCCGGTCTCGGTCATAGCACCAGCACTTCTGCTAGGTGGAGGTCACCTCCAGCAGCCCCAAGGTGGCGATGGGTCGGTTTCTGGATCTTTTTTTTGACTAGGTTTTTCAGCTAGGTGCCCTTCTCACCGTTCCTTTTCTGGTGGGGAAAATTCCCCTGCTAAAATAGACTACAGAGAAAAAGTCGGGTACCCTTATTCTAACCTCTCTTCTGGAGGACCTAGTTGAAGGGGACTCCATCGGATTGGGGAGGAAGCGGATGACCAGACCAAAAAGAAGACACACACACACACACGCACACACCCATTTGACCGGCAGCTTACAGAAATCCCCAGAGACCCCGAAAAAAAAGACGCCTGAAGAATGAGTGTGTTTAATGTTTAATGTTATCCAGGTGGAAAGAGTACTGACCGTCGTCTTCCTTTTTCCCATGAGAGTCTTTACCCACTTAGCTGATCGCAAGCTGGCAAAAGGGAGATTTCCAATCAGCTTTGCAGGCTTTGGGTTGTCGTTTTTTTTTGTCTTGGTGGGGAAGCGCTTTAGTGACCAAAGAGGGATTGAACCGGTTCTTGAGGGTAAATGGGAAACCATCCCGGGAACATCTCCAAAGCGCCTGAATGGACTTAGAAGTGCGCTCCGCAAAACATCGCTGGCGTCCCCTTTTGATGAGGCCCGGTGCCCTTTTCAGGTTGAAACGGAACCAAAAGGAAGGGCACATTCTCTCTCTTTTCTTGGTTGTTCCAAGCTATCCCGTTCCTTAGGTTTTTGGGTTTTAGGATTTCATTTGGATCCACTAAGCAGTTACACTTCTAGCGGGGGATCTGCGAACAGCCCAGTTTTACCAACATCTTATTTAGGGCTCCCTCTTTTCCAGCCTTGATTTGGTGACATCCCTCCGTGAACATTGTAGTTCTCTGCTTTTGAGCGATATAAGGCGAATGCCAATCTGACAATCGCGAGCTCTGGGTTCCTCTTGAGTTCACCTGGCCTGAACCCCACTCGTGTGGTGGGGCTCAAATCCACAAGTCGCCAATCCAAACCATCAAGGGGGAAGCTGAAAGAGGTTGGGCTTCACTTAAGCAGATCGGTTTGGCTCAACTCCAGAGCTTCCTCCCACGCCACGGGTGGATGACCCGTGGGA